AGATCATAGAGGAAATGGGGTCTAGTAGGCCTAACTGTAAGAATTGTGGCTTTTTCTAAATCAGACCTGGGAGCTACTACATAGTTTCAAACAGAGTCATGGGGTGGATGGCTTTATGTTTTGAAAGGATCATGCTAGCTGCTGTACTGAGAACAGAATGAAGGTTAAGGGTAGCTGATATAAACCTACTCAAAGGTGACAGTGGCTTGAATCAAGGTGGAGTATCAGTGGAGGTGGGAAGAGTGGTCATATATTTTAAAGAGATAGAACAGGATTTGATGACAGATTGGATGTGGGGAGTAAAAGAGTTGCTGAGTTGGCTTCTGCAGTGGGAATGATAAAGTTGCCATAAACTGAGATAGATGAGGTTGTAGGTAGAGAAGGTCTTTGAGGGGAGGGGAGATTAGGAGTTTTGTTTTGGACGTAGTAAAAAGGAGAGGTCTATTAAACATCCAAATAGAGATGCTGAGATACTTGAATATCCAAGTGTGGATCTGAGATTAGGGAGCTGTGAGCATATTTATCATATCTAGTGCCATAAGACTGAATTAAATCACTGAGGGAGAGAGTATAGAAGAGGTCCAAGAACCCAGGGACATTCAATATTAAGAGGTTAGTGAACAAAGGAGATTGAGGACAGTGACAGTAGTGTAGGACAAAGATCAGGAGAGTGAAGTGTCCTAAAACACAGAAGAAACAGTGTAACAAGTGAAGGAAGTGTTACAGGGAGGGGGGAGTAATCGAATGAGTTAAATGCTACTCATAGGTCAAGTGAGATGAAGACTGAGATCAGGCCATTGGATCAAGTAACATGGAGAGCAGTTTGGATGGAATGCTGGGGGCAAAGCTAGTTAGAACATGAAAGAAAAAGAACTGGGGCAGTGAAAAGAGTACTCTTTCAAGGATATCTACTATAAAGAGAGCAGAAATAAATGGGACAGTAGCTAGAAGAGGAAGTGGCCAGTTTGGCTCAGCGGTCAGAGCAATGGGCCCGAGGTAAGGGTCATGGGTTAGACTTCCCATCAAGGGTACGTACCTAGGTGTACCTGGGTTGCAGGTTCGATCCCCAGCCCCAGGGTTGTGCGGGAGGCAGCCAATCAATGTCTCTGTCTCTCTTTCTCCCTCTCTCCCTCCCTCCCTTCCACTCTATCTAAAAATCAATGGGAAAATATCCTTAGGTAAGGATTAACAACTTTGTTGTTGTTGTTTAAGATTAATTTTAGAAGCAAATAAATACATTTATATGGGAATGTTAACTGATAAACAGATTAGGAATAGTTGTAACAGATCAGGGCTTCCCTCTTTGCTGGAAAAATATTTGGAAAGCACAAGTCAAATCACAGGATTCTTTCAGAAGCATTGATAATATTGACAGCACTGATGCCCAATTTCTCAAAGTACTTGGCACAAAGCAAGTGCTCAACAGATATTTTTAGAATTAATGAGAAAGGTCACCATGGCCTTGGGGTTAGATAGAAAAGCAAATTAAGTCATGAGAAGTGATGCACCAGAAAAGGCAGGGTTCATGGAACTTGAGTTTGCAGTGAGGGTGAAACTTAGGTTCAACAGCGGAAGCGAGAGAAAAATAACAGGAAGAGGAAGCCATGGTTAGAGAAAAGCTCTCAAATACCACTTTCTACTTGAAGTCTTTTATAATCATGAAACCTCCCCGCTTTTCTGGACCTCTCTCGAGGCACTCATCTATCTTGACTATGTCAAGTTATATCCATGTGCTCTTCTCTATCATGTGCCATCTCCCCAGTACTGACCATATTTTTAAATGGAAAAACTGAGTCAAATGAGGGTAGCTTCCAAGTCCCCGAGACAAAAAACAGATGCTGAAAGTTTGACATTTCTAGTTCACTTCCACGGTTTATGGAGATACTAGAGTAGAATACATAAAATTGGAAGACTATATTTCAAATCTGAAGTATATCCAAAATGCTTAATAAAATAATTTGCACATGAATGACTGCATGATTAAATGAAGTGAAAACTGAGGCCTGGAGAGACGTCAAGGAGAATACATGATTTAATAACTGTTTGAGGCCCACTGGTCTCACAGTGGGGCACGAGTGAGTAGAGGAAGTAACCTGCAGTCAGAAAGCACCTAGGAACTTAGCAAAGTAACTAAGACATGAAGAGATACGGCCTTAAAAAAGTCAGTATGAGTAGAAAGGAAGAATATGAGGAAATTCTGAAATAAATAATTACCATATTGGTGGGTGATGATTATAGGCTATGAGTAAATAATTCCAAGATTTTGGTATCATGTATAGGGATAGCATAAAATGAAGAGGGAAATAATCTTCATTTTGAAACATACTTGACTCCAAAGTAAAACACTCAAGTAAAAACTAGTCATAGGCAATATTTCAATGAACACTTAATATGTGCCAAGTATGCTTTCCATGAATGATTTTGTTTATTTATCACAATAACCAGATGATATAGGTGCTATAATCTTTATTTTACAGATGGGAAAATCAAGACACAAGAATGAACAGTTTGTCCAAAGTCACATAGCTAGTAAGAGACTGTGTCAGGATTTGAATCCAAAATATTAAGGCACTTATCCTGGGGCCATACAGATATTCATTATTTATTCAATAAATATTTAATAAGCACCACTACATTCTAGACATTGTGCTGGTGTTAGGAATGAAAGGGAAAAGGAAATTTGGTGATTCCTACCTGCACAGACCTTATGGACATTAAATAAATAACTACAAGTATGACAAATTGGAAAAGAAAATGTTAAGTTACAGTTAGGTAGGAGGAGTGGGTGACAAAAAAGAATCCCAGGGGAAGGGAATGGTGTGTGTCAATAACTTGAAGTGAAAGCTTACAGTAGAAAAAAAGAGGGAGAAAAGAGCCTGGAAAAAAATAAAAAAGACTAATATGGCTGGAGTGCAGAGGGCTAAGGAGGCTGGGGAGAATGACAAGCCCAGATGGTGGAGGGCCTGGTCCCCATGATAAGGAGCTTCGACTGAATTCAGTAAGCAAAGGGAAGCCACTGAAGGAATTCAAGCAGGGTAGTGTCTTCATCAGATTTGTATTTTTTAAATCACTGTGGCTGCAGTATGACAAATGAATTGGAGTGAGCCAACAATTTTGCAGGACCTGGATGGTAGTTATTTGCAGTTCTTCAAGCAGGAGATGAAGATAGCTAGATGGGAGCAGGGTGTGGAAAAGTGGCCAGAGGAATGGAGAGGCCACAGTCCAATTTTGTAAGGCACACAGGTCTAGGTGATTCTGATGTGTGTCAGAGGCATGTCAGGTTTCTGGCTTGAACTCAGTAGATGAATAAGATGGCCTTTACTGATCCTAGGGCTATGGGAGGAAGGTTTCAGAGGAAATATAAAATACAGTTTGAGTTTTGCATACTCCAGTGATCTAAATGAAACTGTAGCAATGACCGTTAGAAATATGAATCTAGAGTTCAAGAGCAAGATCTAGATTTGAGTTATGGGATGAACAGTCTTTGGCAGAGAGTATGCGAAGCTAACAGAAGAGGATGAGACCACCTAGGAGAGTGTATATAGTGGCACTCAAGAACAGGGCTCGGCTCGGTAGGATTCCAATTATCTAAGAGTTGGATAAAGGAGGAGAAGCTGGTTGTTAAAGAGCAACCAGGGAGGAAAACTCTGATATAAGGGCAGAGGGAAGAGCATATTTGAATGAGTGTGTGGTCAGTAGTGCCAAATGCTAGAATGCAGTCTTATAAAATTATGACTGAGGCTTGCCTGTGACAAATTAGAGCTGCTTCAGGTGAACAGTTGGAAGAGAAGCTAGACTGGAGAGGGTTAAGCAGTGGGACATAAGAATATGTCCACAGAGTAAGAGACTATTGGAATCACCGTTGGAAAGGAATTTAAGGAGAGAAATCTCTTTTTACAGAAATGAGAGACTTAAGCATGTTTAAACACTAGACGGGGAAGCCCGTAGACTCGGAAGGCCCCAAGTCTCTGAGAAAGCAGGAGGTGATCCATCAAGAGTACCAGGAAGGGCAACTGTTTTTTTGCCACGTGAAATCAATAAGGGGCGGAGCTCAGATTTGTAGTCTCGGTCTACTTCCTCAAGTCAGGTTTGCTTTTAAGGGCAGAACGAGAATTATGAAAGAGGACTGCAGAGTTCAGTAAAAAGGAGAATGAAAAGTCAGTATCGTGGCCTTGGGCGACCTCCGACAGAGCAATTTCAGTAGCTGCGAGGCAACGGAAGTCACACTGGTGGGTTTAGAATGGGAGTGGGTGGTGAAGAAAAAGGTGCAGTGGCTGCAAACCACTGCTGTGGAAAAGCAGCTGTGAAAAGAAAGTGACACAGCAAGGTGCCAGGAAAAAGGCGGGCAGGTAAGGGGAGGGATGAAGACGTTTCTTAAATGTGTGGAACAGCAACCTGGGTCAGGACAGGTCACTGCTCCGCGGCCCTGGATGACTCTGGCTGCCCACGCAGCCGGGCTGAACCCCAAACCCCGAAATAGAACAGTCGGCCCGCGGCCGCCAGGTTTCTCAGTTGATTCTCGGAGCCGCGCTGCCCAGCCGGATCAGGGGCGGAAAACCCTCCCCACGGGGCCCCAAGCCGCGCGGGGGCAGCACAGCAGCCCTGCGTTCCAGCCTGGCCCGGCCCCAGGCCTTTGGGGGCGTTTGCAGAGGCGCAGCTGCCCTTGCTCCCCAGCTGGCCTGACTCCCGCACCGAGCCGCGGTCCAGAGGCCGCGACGCGTCTCCGCGTCCCCGCAACGTTTGAAAGTTCCCGGGCCCACGGCGCTCAGGTGTCCTGGCCCGGCCGGCCGCAGCCGCCCTAGAGCCCGCCGCTTACCGCCGCGGGGCCAGACCCACACGGGGGTTTCCATCCAGTCGTCCACACCCCTCAGGAATTCCCCACCCGGCCACACACACGCCCTATTTCCTCCTTCAAATTTCCGCCGCCGGGTTTTATCCGTCGAAAGGCGACGCAGGGGCTTAGACAACTCCTCCCCCCGCGGGTCCCGGCCCACCTTCACCTTCTCACTGCGGGCGGAACCCCTTCGCCTCGCCCGAAGGAACCCGAAAACCTTCGGCAAGTTCCGCCTCTAGCGCGGGGGGCGGGGCCGCTCGAGCTCCTCCGGGCTGAGCTCGGCTGTTTCCGTGCGCGGCCGCTGCGCACTCGGCACTGGGCGGCGCTGGCTGGCTCCCTGGCTGCGGCTCCTCAGTCCGCGGCGGCTGCTGCTGCCTGTGGCCCGGGCGGCTGGGAGAAGCGGAGTGTTGGTGAGTGACGCGGCGGAGGTGTAGTTTGACGCGGTGTGTTACGTGGGGGAGAGAATAAAACTCCAGCGAGATCCGGGCCGCGAACGAAAGCAGTGACGGAGGAGCTTGTACCACCGGTAAGAGGAGCAGGAGGAGGAGGCAGGAGCCGGAGAGAGCCGGGGGGACGGAGGGGGGACGGGGAGGCGCCGGACACCCGCGCTCCGGGCCTTCCCCTCGCAGGAGGGGCCGCGGTAAAGATGGAGCCTCCGCCCGAGCCCCACAACATCGCCGCCGCTCGCAGCGAACAAAGAATAATGGCGGCGGACTGGAGCCAGCGGCGGCCGGGGCGGCAGCGACTCTGCCTGCAGCCAGCGGCGGCGCTCATGGCGGGGGGCGGCGGGCAGCGGGCGGGGTGGGAGCCGGGGACCGGGGTTGTGTGCGGGCGGCCGGCCGCGGCGAGCTGGCGCCCGCGTTCCCGCCGCCGGGCCGGGCCGGGCGCGGAGCCGGGAACCGGGAGCCGCCCCGGGGGAGGCCGCCCGCCCGGCCCGATCTGGCCTGGCGCTGCTGCCCCCCGCGCCGCCCGCGCGGCCCCTGCCGCCCGCCTCGCCCCCGGCCCGGCCGTTCTCCCGAGCAGCGCCGCCGGAGTGCCCGCGGGGGGTGGAGGAGGAAGAAGGCGACAGTTGAGGGCAGAGGAGGTGAAGGTGCCTGCCTTCCCGGTAGCCTCCGTTGTCTGCCATGCCCGCTTCGCGAGGAGAAGCGCGGCAACGTCTGACCTACTCTTCCCCGCTCTTTGTGCAATAAAGTTCGAAACCAAAGGTTTCTTCTCGTACTGTATTTTATTCATGCCCTTGCTCCCTGCTCACCCCATTGGGGAAACACTGTTTTCTCTCTTCTGCTTAGTTGAAATCATGAGGGCTTGTGCATTTTTAGATAATTTTGACTCTTTCCCTCGCCCTCTTTTCTTTTTTTTTTTTTTTTTTAAGGCAGTAGTCATGGAAATGCATTCTTTTTGGGAGAAAGGGGTTGCTAAGGAAAACATTTCTAATAACTTTAAAACAGTGGGGATCTTCTAAAAGGGAAGCTTGTGTTTGAAAACCGTTTCGCTTTTAACCCTTTCAATAAGGTAATCACTTGAGATTTATCATTGTGAAACACTTCGTTGTTAGTCGAGGTACTTTTGCTTTACATCACTTTTTATATTTTTTGCCAACCATGCCAACGGCGTTTGGGCCCTCTGTATCTCCCACTCCGCCTCCTACCGTGTTTCCCACATAGTTGTCTAATCTTAAATATATTGATTAATACTGATTCTAAAAATAGGCATTTTAAAATATCCATTATTTGTCTCGCATGCGGTCGGTAACCCCTGCCGGAGACCGACAATAATTTAAGTCTCCAGGCTTATTTTTTCTTTGCCTATTAGGAAAAGTCACAGCAGAAAAGTCATTGACACATTAGAGATTAAAAATAATTTTTAAAGGACCTGCAATATGACCTATTTACGCTTGTCATACCTTCTTAGAATTTCATTCTGGTCTTAGCCTTGCATCAGTTCTGCCTTCTGAAGGTTTAGTATAAAAGATACTTTTGGCTGCCAGCTATTGAAATCTTTTACATTCACTGCTTATTTCCCTATTTAAAAGTAAAGCCAACACGATTTTTTGGTGGAGCAAAAGATGAACGGTTTTTTTGTTTTAAAAATACATGATCTGTCACAGTATAATAGAACTGTGGTTAATACATAAGGTTTCTTGTTAGGAATAAATATGGATTAGTAATAGAAGCACTGTTATTTTTCTGTATCCACATCACTTTTCCAAAACCTACTTCGCTGTATTGCAAGTCTTTAAAACCACATTAGCAATTTGTCATTGATGAAAACTTAATGAAGAAGATGCAATAAAGAGTTTTTCCATAAGAATTGAGAAGATGATTTTATTGCCAAACACTGAGGAAATTATAGTATTGATGACACTGTAGATTACTGTTTTTCCTTAAGAAAAATTTTCTGCAAGCCAGCATCAGTTGAGAAAAAATTTCCCCCTACAGAGAATATAAGACAATAACTCCTCCTTTGTGGAAATTTAAATTTTAAACTTTATTTTATTTTTAATTCATAATCTGTAATTCTTAGCAATTCCAGGTGAAACTTTTCAAACTTTTATATTCATTAATGGAGCATGGTAGTAAATTATACTGCAACCCTCTCAAGGATCAATAAAAATCAGTTAAATCTGCTTGAACTTTTTTTTTAATGGACATATGTATTCAGAAAATGAATGAATCTTTGACACAAACTGACTGAAAAAATGTTAAAAGGCACTTCTTAAAGGATTTAAAACTCTAGTTAGTACCCCTTTCGGATGATTTTTTTTTTTTTTTTACTCACCATATAAAAGCCTAAGGAAGCTTAGAATCCTGATCTATAAAATGGCACCTTCCTGCCCTGTCTGGTTTGGCTCAGCGGTTAGAGCTTTGGGCCAGGACCAGAGTCATGGGTTCTATTCTGGGCAAGGGCACCTACCCTAGTTGCAGTTCCCCCCAGCCCTGGTTGGGTGTCTCTCTCACGTGGATGATTCTCTTTTTCTCCCACTCTATCTGAAGACTAAAAAAAAAATGGCACCTTCCTTTGTCTGAGTTCTAAAATTTATTTTGTTGATTAGATCTGATAGAAAATTTTGCTCATAGAGAAGTGGCTTTATTTTGTCTCATTCTAAGACATTGTGTTTTGTTTTTTGGAGTATAAAAATGGTTGTAGTAAAACCAAGTACAGGGTGGGGCAAAAGTAGATTTACAGTTATTTGCATGGAAAACAATACAATAATTAAGTAATACAAGAAGAAAACTTTTGTGTACTCACAACTGTAAACCTACTTTTGCCCCACCTGTGTATATTCCCTACTTCACCTCAGTTTTAAAATCTTTTTCCTTTTCCACAGTAGGAAAAATTTTCTTGTAACTTAATGCTTACAATGTATCACTGAAACTTACAATTTCATTTATTCTATAAATACCTTATTAGATACAGTTACATACACTTGTTTATAGCAGCCTGTGACACAGTCTTATAAGCATTTTCCTTGATGTAGTGTCACTTCTAGTGATGGTTTTTTTATTGAATGAATAGTTATAGCTCAAATCTGAATGTAAGAATATAGTAGATAGGAAATAAGGAAAAGGCAAGGATTTTTACTCAAGTGTGAACTCATTTCTACTGCAGTATCACTTGAGACAACAGTTTGTGGTAATTCAAGTATTTAGTTAGCATTTACTGTGACAGAATGTAGTTAGTGGAAAGAGCATTAGGTGTTGGAATCCCTGCTGACACTACTGTCATGTGCCTACACAAGGAAATTTTTGACTTAAGCAAAGTTTCTTAATCTTTCTCAGCCTCCGTTTTCTTATTTGTTAAATTAGAATAATACCACCTACTTAATAGGGTAATGAGGTAAAATACCTCCTTAGGGACTCAATGATAGATACTCACTTTAAAGCTTTATTTTAACTTACTAGCTGTGGGACATTGGGCAATATTCTTCTCCATACCTCAATTTGCTTGGTTGTAATGGGACAATATTCACCTCATAGAAATGTGGGGATTAGCCCTGGCTGACGTTGCTCTGTTGGTAGGGTGTGGTCCTGTGCACCAAGATTTCAGGTTTGATCCCTGGTCGGGACACATGCCTGGGTTTCGGGCTCCGTACCCCCTGAGGGGGGCATGCAGTAGGCAGCTGATCAATGTTTCTGTCTCCCTTTTCCCCCCTCTCTAAAATCAATAAAGGAAAAAAATATATATGGAGCCTGGTTGGTGTGGCTCAGTGGACTGAGTGTCATCCCATGGACTGAGAGGTCCCCATTTGATTCCAGGTCAGGGCACATGCCCAGGTTGCAGGCTCAATTTCCAGTAGGGGGCATGCAGGAGGCAGCCAATTGATGTTTCTGTCCTCCCTTCCTGTCTCAAAAACAAACAAACAAACAAAAAAAAAACAGTAAAAACATATTTTAAAAGATTAAATAAGTGAATACATGTAAGCTCTTTAAATAAGTTAACACATATTAAATGCAAGACATTTCACAAGTGCTCAACAAATGTTTCCTATTTTAAAAATTATTCATCATTAATATTACTATGTTTAATACACGAGCAGAAGCTGCACCAAATCCAAAGATGAATTACACTGTCTTGTCTCTACCTTGAAGGAACTTTTGAGGACCCATAACTCGTAAGGCGGAATATATGTCATAAGAAAGCAATCAAAGGAAGGAGAGATCATACTTTGTGAAATAATGGAAAAGGGGAATATTACACTTTTATATTTCCAGTTTTATTTTAAAATAAGTAATTCATTTGGATAATTCATAATTCAAAACAAAATATATGGGAAAAAGTTGTGCACGTGTGTGTGTGTGTGTGTGTGTGTGTCTTGTCCCCACCCTAGTCATCCTAGTGTTACCAATTTCTCATTTATTCTTTCAGAGGTATTGTATCCATACACAAGTATGTATGTACTCCCCCTCCTTTTTTTTATACAAAAGTATACACTATTGTATATCTTGCTTTTCTTCCAAGTTAATATTACTTAATTTTTTTTAAATTATGAGGTATCTCACCATGTTGATGTACCTGTATTTAATAACCAGTTAGTGAGCTGATTTTATTTTTAGGTCTTATATGCCCTTTAAACTAAAGGAATCTGTCATTGTGCCTGTATTTCTTTAAATGAAAGAATTCGTTTGAATGAGAAATAGCAGTTTCTGACAGGAAATTGTTATTTGAACTACCTTATTACCTTTTTAGCTTTAGTGCATGAAAAGGCAAGTAGCTGTGAAGAGTTAACTATGAAAGTGAGTCCTGGCCAGTTTGGCTCAGCGGT